AAAGATCAACCTCTTTCTTCTCTGGTGGTAAGACTTAAAAGTGATAAACTTTTATTAATTAGTTCTTGGGGGATGAAGGGGTCTTAACTCATACTGTTTGTCAAAATATGCCTAGGAACACCCCAAATTCATGGCTGCATTTTGGGGGAAATTCAGCATCTTTGCCTTCCCAGCTCAGCCTGCGTGTCAGGAGCAGCCAGACCTAACCACAGCAGGCAGCTGACTTTTCCCCACCCCAGACCTGCTCCCTCCCTTCCTTCTCCTCCGCAGAGCCCTTGACTCGCTCATCACTTCTCCTTACTCCTCTCAGCTGGACCTTGGGGTCCCACAGGAGGACCCGCAGCTGGCCAGCCCACGACTGCTGACCTTTGGCAGGCTCTGCCCGAGGTGTCAGCCCTACAGCTGGCTGCGACTGCCTGCCTGGCAACTGAAGACCTAATGAGCTTGGCCAGCTGGAGCCTGGGCTGGGATCCCGCCGGCTCATCTGACCCTGTGTGAGGGATGGAGGAGTTCACCCCCAAACGTGGAGGGGGTGAGCGGTGCATCTATCCACGTGCCGCCCCGGGGCATCAGGGCCCAGCTCCTCCTGCAGCCAGCCGGATCAGTGGAATGAGTAAAAAAGAAACTGTAGAGGCGCTTTTTTTGTGCTTTATTTGAGTTTTCTGTTCAGTATTAGCTTAGGTGTCAGTAGTGGCCTTCTTTGCCTGTGCTACATCTCATGGTGTTTCCTCCACTCTGTCCGAGAGATACATACATCCACCAGACCAGGGCTGGGCTGGGGGCTTGCTCCCATTCCCAAACACAGCGTGATACATTTTCTCTTCATTCTGCGGGTGCCCTGCTTGCCTTCCAGCAGGAGGTTACGCATCCTGGGTGCTTGCACACCTCATGCCGAGCCCACTGTCCTGCAGAGTCCAGCTACTTGCTCAGAGGTCTTCTGCTCTCTGCTCCCCACCCCAGCTGACAGGCACCATCCAGTCCTGGAGTCTGGTTTGATTCTGAGCATCAGTAACACTCACAGACTGCCTGGCAATCTGCTGGAAGGCGTTGGTGGCCGTGATGCCAAAGGCATTGGTCAGCTGTGCTTGAAGAAGGTGATAGTGGGCGTGATATACGAGGGTCAGCAAGCTCAGTGAGAGAGCAGAAAGGTAGTTCAGTGTCTGCATTAAATCAAGTGCATTTGAAGTTGATACTCTCTGAGAGGCCTTCAAAGCTGGAGTAGCAGCAGAGGAATAAATGTGTGGGTTTTCTCTTTATTTCTCTGATCTTCTTCTGTAAATATATGCTTTTGAACTGATAATATTTTCTGTTTTAAAAATGCATATAGCATATAGGCTAAGAAAAAATTAAATCTGCAAAGAAGCCCTAAATCTTTAGTTCTGATTTTTTTTTTGTAAAGTGCCAAATCTCACTGCTTGCAGTGGGACTCAGCTACCTACCCGGGACCCAGGAACCCAGCAAAGGTCTGGCTGGAATGTAAAACTAAAGCTAGTGCGCCTGTTATACATTATATGGAGCGAAAATGTGGATTAAATCAAGTTTGAATTCAGCCCACTGCCTTTGATGGTTTGATTCCACAGAATTTATTAAATTAATAAATCGCTAACTCCTTAATTAACAGTGAGCAAACAATGACTGTGACTTCAATTACACCTGTGTGTAGCTCAGTGCAAAGACCTCATTAGCAAATGCACCACTGCTCCAGTAAGAACTTCATTTTTTTGTAAATGGAAGCATTTGAAGCTGCTGAAAACCAGTTCTGTTCCCCTCTTTTCCATGTTTAAAGTAACCATATATGCAAGATTTTGTGAATGGTTTGTTTTTTTTTTTTTAATAGCATGAGAAAATACAAGGTTTGGTTTATTTTCCTGTCCACTTTGTAATACTTTGAAAAAATAGAAAGACAAAGAGTATTTTTCCATTTCAAAATTTTTCCATTTTGAAAAGTATTTATTTCTATTTTGAAAAATACTTATTTCTACGATAGCTGTTTTGGACCATCTTCAAAGTGAGCTAACAGTGCAATTCTGAAACTCGCTGCCTGAGTGCTTTGAAAAGCAGAAGAGGAAATGTCTCTGCTGGCCATGATGAAGATGTACCCAAAGCGCGCATCTGAAGTCCCTTCCCCAAAGTTAAGGCTTACATGTAGACTTGTGGTAAACACAAGATAGTATCACCTTGTTACTAGGAGCAGACCACCAAACTCCCTTCCCACCCGTGTGCGTGCCCATCAGAGGCTCTTGTTCCAGCCCTATGACTCCTATGTTTCATTAAAGTTGTGTCCAAAATCAGCAGCTGGGAGTCCTTCGGGCCTCTTCCCAGGTGTGTATGATGCTGTGAGCTCCCAAAAGCGGAGGTGAATCTGTCACCGTCTAGAGCAGGGCAGCAACAAGTAGAGCGGCTGATGCTTTGTATTGACTCCTGCCCTCTGCACCAGGGGAAGGGAAAAAGGAGGAAAAGGGAGAGAGACTTACAAATTGGAAATTAAAACAGTTTTACTAATAATAGGAGAAATAATACAAAATTTAGAAGACGGATACAGAGTTTCCCGGAGCTGGCTGGCACCTGGAAGTCACGGACCGGACTTCCCGGCAGATGGGAACTGGATTCAGCAATGCATGGATCGATATCTGGATCGGGATCGCAGGCAGGACAGGGAGCAGGGTCCTCTTCAGCAGCCGGCTGTGGACGAGGAGAGCAAGACCCTTGTGATCCCCCAGCTTTAAACTGAGTACGACGTGCACGTCATGGAATACCGCGTTGGTCAGTATTGGGTCACTGGTCCTGCCCGCCCTTCCCGGCAAGGACGACCCTTTAGGACCCCTTGCCTGTGGAATATAAGAGTTCTATCAACGACCTTGGCTGCTGTAGAAATAATTATAAACAGGGGCCTTTTCTGCATTCCATTCCTACCGTTGGCTCGGTAAAACTATAAACATCAGGTGTTATCAGCTTTGGAGCTGACACTGTAAAATGTGCAGCCAGTTTCAGAAAAATGCAGTTACTTAGAAGAATTTAGCTGTAAGAAGAACTCACTGAAAGAGAATTGGTTCTGTTGTAACCAAAACCAGGACAGTGAATGGCTTAGCTGCAAAGCTTCTGCAAATGGATGAACACCCTCCACCTGGGTACCTGCAGGACCTCAGCAGTGAAGACTTGAGGAGCACCTAAACTGGTAAGATTTGAGCTCATAATCCCTGCATGATTAAATGGGTATTTTTATGGACCTCATCCTGAGTTGAAGCATCCATTCTTGTCTTCTTGGAAAACTCTTGTCAGGCTGTCTACCTGGCCACAGTGGCTGTTCATTCCTGTCATGTGACTGGCTAATGAAGACATGTCCCATGCAAGTGTCTCATGCAGTGGGAGAGGGGACATCTTGGTAGTCTGAAGCTCTTTGATTGTGGGAAATGTGGGTGGCTGAACACCCAGTCCCGGGAAAAGCGACTATCTCATAAATTGAGAATTCCTTTTGAAGATGCTCCAGGTCATAGGAAAAAGGGCTCCTGCAAAGCTGGAAAGGTAAGCGCTGAAAGCTGGGAGGGCAGTTGCTGTGACACGGTTGTACGCGTGGCTGCTCAGTATGGAGTAAAAGGATGGTGACTCTGGGCAGCTGGGAAAAAGTTCAGTAACTTTAAAATCCCCCGTGCTGAGCATGAAGTAGAGAAGAAACCAAGTAAACAAGGGCCGAGACAGCTGTATCCTACCAGAGCCTGAAATGCACATTTTTCACAGGGTGCAAATTTCTCACGTGTTTATCGCTTGGGTGAAATACAAAAATGACTGAGCTTTGAAAAGTGAAACTTGTTATTTCTAAACTTCCTAATAAGCAGGACAGTGAAAGCTCCTTTTAGAAAAGTGCTTGTGAAATTAGTCTTCTCAAGCAGAAGCGGTCTGCTCTGAGGGGTCTGCTGACCATGTCTGCCTCCCACAACCTGTGTCCCCACCTCTCTCTTTTCTGTAAAAGATAAAGACTATGAGAAAAAAAATCTATGTGTTTTGGCGTATAGCCTTGCTTTAATTTATCATTTCGGCAATGCCACACTTCCTTACACTCCTACTTATAAAATGAATAGTCCTAATTTTATTACTGCTTTTTGTTCTCCATTTTTTTCCATCTATAAAAAGTTTTATTGTTTATAAGCAATGCACTTGGTTACATGAATATGTTTGAATGCCATTTTGGTTTAGTGTGTATGGAAACAAATCGTTATCTTCACATAAACTCTTTTAATCAGAAATAGTGTATTATAAAGCACAGCTAGACAGCTAAGTTTATTCTTGCTGCAACTCTGCTGAAACCCCTGGAGTTTCACCAGGAACAGATTTGGGCCAGAAGGCCTAGAATATAGTTACAATATATTCATTTTCTCATGCCTCAGAAATGGACTGTTTATGCGCCAAGCTGTAAAGTGATATTCATGATGACTGAAGCCTGAACAACATTAAAATATCCAGATCCTCTGCTCCAAATCCTCTGGTATCCGAAACTGTTCCTTTCCTTTCAAAAGGAGGGGGCTACGGCTGCTGAGGGTAAACAAGGGCAGGGGCGCAGCTTTAGTACCCAAGCTTAAATGAGGACTAGCCTGGCTAATACCGCGGCTTAGCTGCAGGGAGCCTGGGTCTAAGGCGTGCAGGGATCCGGGGTCTAAGGCACTGCCCAGCACCCTCCCCGCCAGCTCTGCCTTCCTGCTCCTGTGGCAGAAGCTTCGCGGGTTGACCCTTTCGGCTCAGCGACTCTTGGGAGATCTGCTGTACCACCCCCCAAAAACCCCCGCTGAGAGGAATTTTTCTTTAAATGAAAAGTGCTGTGGAAAATTGCTTTTTATTGCAATTAGAACGGATACAGCGGTTCACACAGCTTGCAGCGTGCTTGAGAGCCAGGGCCCACACTTTGCTAACGCACTATGGAATATCAAGCACAATCATGTTTTCTGTTTTATTTGGCTGTAATTTCCAGAAGTAGGAGCTTGAAATTGCGCTCACAGTAACTGCAGTGATTTGTTGACAGTCTCGAATGCCAGCCGGCTCTTACCGAATACCAGGATAGGTCATAACTGCAAGGAATTCTTGAAGATCTCTTGCTCTGCAGCCTAATTTTTTTAAAAATTTGCCTATCTGTATTTTTAAAATTAGAATATAGTCAGAGACAAAATTTTGCTGAACATATGATAAAACCATTCACTTTTTAAAAACAAATTTTAGAATCCGTAAAAAGAAATCACAGTGCATAAGATGGTAGAGTAAGATGGAACCAAGTTTATTTTTACATACTTCTCAACCAGTGGAAATACCTATGCACAAGCATACTTACATATGCAAGTTTTAGCAAGTTCAGGGCTTAAAAATAGAGGCAAGGAGTTCGTTCTTTTTGATTATAGTGATTTGGAGGAAGGAAGAGAAACTGTATGCAAGTATTACTAGATTATTTATGTAAGATGACATAGAACAGCCTTGTCTGGAGATTGGTCATTCTGTGCTTGACTGACTCTTAAAGCCCCAATTAATTTTTATTATAAATAATCCTGGCACGTTGGGTGTAAATGTCCACAGTGCCTCTGGCAAAGCCTTTCCACAGGACCTTTATTATCATATTACTGCAGGCAACTGTTTTGGAAAGCTCAGGATCTTCACTAGAGAACTAAGAGGCTCGTGGCAGGTGGTGGTTCTGCAAGTTTTATGGATGTGAAGAGCTCCGTTCAATTCTGATCTTGAAGGTCACTTGGTCAAAAGTTGCGAGCAACGCCTACAAATCTTCTTCCTCTAATTCCAGAAGAAATGTGCCTGGAAAATATTTTATGTTTTGTGAATGCTTCTAGGTTCCTGTTTCTTGTTTGCTTTAAGAGAAAACCGGTGTATAACCCATTTGAAAACATGGTGTTTCTGAGAGCTGCCTGCATTGTAAACATTAGAGCAGCAAACGAGCATTACTTCAGCGTTGAACAGTCCTGGGCCTTGGCCGAGCCTTCCATCACACACAACATGAAGTTACTGAGCTCCCCACACAACATGGTCTTCTTTGCTGTCACCCTGTAGTGAATGCACACCTGGGACACAGATTTCCAACTGTAGCATTTCAGTCTGCTTGGAATATGCCTGTACTGCCTTTTAAAATATCCCAGGAGACCTGCAACATGCAATATGTCATGTAGAATCATAGAATGCTTTGGGTTGGAAGGGACCTATACAGGTCATCTCGTCCAACCCCCCCCTGCAGTGAGCAGGGACATCTTTAACTAGATCAGGTTGCTCAGAGCTATGTCCAATCTGGCCTTGAGTGTTTCCAGCAATGGGGCACCTACCACCTCTCTGGGCAACCTGTTCCAGTGTCTCACCATCCTCATTGTCAAAAATTTCTTCCTTATATCCCATGGGTCAGTGCAGTCCCAAGCCGGTGGGCTCCACTCGAAGGACTACACGCAGTGGGGTTTTCTGCCTGGATAATTCAAAATATTTGGATGACCTGCATGCTCAGGCAGGACTCGGCCAGGTCCTGAGCTACATCGGTGCTGGTCGGTGTGGCAGACTGGCAGACCTGGGCTCTAATTTAGAGCTGGAAGTGCAGAGAAGAGCCTCTGAATTAATTTTGACACTGTAATTCTCTCACTGCAATTAAATGAAATGAAGCAATTGGTAAGAGAATGGAAAAAAAAATCCAGTCCATATTGAAAGCATATGCTGTACATCCCAGCGAAATGTGACTCAAATGGCTGTAGCCTGAAAGTTGGGTTTTATAAGCATAACACTGATCCAGCAGATAGTATAACGCACCAGTGCTTATAAAATTGGAAATAATTCAGCAGCACCCAGACATAAGAGTACTATAATCTATTTTCTTTTGGTCTGAACAGAAGTGCCTACCTTCAAGGGACGTCCTACACTTGCGTGAGGTTTCACTCCCTCTGGCTTCTCCAGAGGAGGCTGCGGCAGCTGAGGCCCTTTTGGGTGCAGGAATTCAAAGCTGAAGAATCCTTTTTCCAGTGGGATTATTCTTTTTATAAAGCTCATTGTGTGTGCTGGAAAAGCAATTTATTTTGCCACTAACATGGGATAAAGCATCATTATGCTACTCAGCTGTCACTGGGGAGTATTTGGAAATGGTAAATCTATTTTGGGCCCAGTAGTAGTTCTAATCATGACAAAAATCTTTCTAGTCTGAATAAAAATATAAAGAAATGCAGGATGAGGTCTGTTGTGGTTTTTTTTTTTTTTAACTTAAGGGACGGATTGTGTAGAGAATTAGGATTTAAAAAAAACACCTGTTTCTTTAAAATGTTGCTGTGCAGAATTTTAAATGTATGACTTTTAAAAAAATGAACAGTGCTATTTAAAGCATTGAAATCTATAGGAGTTAGGCACTTCCCAAAATCCTATGGCCGGCAAAGGCTCAAATTCTCCAGTGGGATTAGGTGTTTAAATATATTTGAGATTCAGACTCCAGAGCCACAAGGGGAGGTTAGGGGTGCCCAGTGCCAAGCACGTTGCCTGACTTTACAGAACGCTGTAAATACAGGAAATTCACAACATACAGCAGGGCACCTGGGCCCCAGCGTAATGTCTGGGAGCACATTATGCAAAGCAGGGCTCTGCTTAAAAAGCAAGAAGAACTTGATGAAGAACATGTCTTACTTAAACGTCTTACCCTGGATTGGAACACAGTGTCTTCCCCCTGCCAAGACTGTTCTTTCTTTCATATGCCTCAACCCTGCATTTCGTGGTCGAAGCA